CAGTGAAGACAAGGAAGAGAGTGCTCAACAAGACCAAATACTGCTCCAGCCAGTAAAATGATGGTGAATACCATTTGGATTAGCAACATCAAAATAATTGGTGACTTTAAGAAGATATTAGTGGACGAAAGGGAAATTCAAATTAGAGGTGTTGAAAAGTGACGAAGAAGATTTAAAAATGAAGAACAGTTGAGTGTAGATAATAGTTTTGAGAAGTTTGGCTGTGAATCATATGAGGAAGAAAAAAATAGTAGTGTATCTGGTGGAGATATGGGGCTGAGAGCAGACACAAGGATTAAGATTAAATCCCTGAGATTAAATCATTACCTACTTCCTTGAATTGAAAAGAAATTAAAACACCAATTCCTTTTCTGAAAAGGAGTTGTATTTCAATCTTAAAGACCTGAAGAATCTTGAAAAGTCGAAAGGATGAACTCTGGTGTTGGATATTCTGGCATCCTGTGGAGGAATGGGGATGTTTACTGAAGCACAAGCTAGCTTTTCCCCTGACATCACAGGTCATGGGAAGCTGCTGTTTCTACTAGCTGATAAAATTGGCCTTCGCATTGATTTTATTATTGATTTATTTGTCCGTTAAATGTGTATCAAATACCAATTATGTGCTAGACACTGTCCTAGGCTCTGGGATTAGTGTTGAATGACAAGAGTCATTAGAATTACAGTGGTAATTAGAAGAGTGTTAGACAACAGGGCACTCTGGGAATATATACATGGGATCTGATGTAATCTAGGGAACCAGGGGAGGTGGCCTTGAATGAGTGGTGGTCAAGGAGAGATCTGAATTCCATTTATATGGAATGTCCAGAATCGGCAAATCTGTAGAGCCAGAAAATAAAGTAGTGTTTGCCTAGGGTTAGCGGAGTTGTGGGAGAAAGGGGAGTTACTGCTAATAAGTACGAGTTTCTTTTGGGGGTAAGGAGAATGTTCAAAAAGTGATTGTGGTGATGGTTCTACAACACTGTAAATTTACTAAAACCCACTGATCTATATACTTCAAGTGGGCAAAATGTATGGCATGTGAAATACATCTCAGTAAAGTTCATATATAAGTGAGATCTGAATATTGAGGGGAATTGGCTAAGGAATAAACTATTTCTACACAGAGGGAAGAATGTGTGCATTGGAAGAAAGAGTATGGCATTTTAGGAGATGTGAAAAAAAATTCTGTGACCGGCTTGTTTCTTGATAGAGGGTAATGACAGATGAAGCTGACCATCTTGAATGAACCGAGACTGTACAGTGTTATAAAAGCCACACTGAAAGTTTGGGACTTTATCCTAAGAACAATAGGAAGCCAGTTGTTGTGCAATATGATCACTACGCGTTACCATTCTGGCTACCAGGTAGAGAATGAAAGGAAGAAAAGAGTGTATTTGAGAAACCAGAAGAGTGATATTATAATTCTCCAGGCATGAACTATTAGTATCTTAGATTAGGACGGTGGCAACAGGTTTGGACAAATTCAAGACTTGCTGACAGATTAGAACGGAGATGTAATAGAGTGACATAGATAAGATGACTTGCTCAACTGAGTGGATAGTGAGATGGAAATAGAATAGGTGCAAATTTTGGGATGAGGGCAAGATTAGTTATTTTTCATATAGTTGGGATGATCTAATAAGAGTTAGCAAAGATGATTTGTGCAGTAATGAGCTCTCCTCCACTGAAATTATTCAAGTCAGACTAGAGAAGTTGTGGACTAAACAACTAAATTTCCATTCAGTTCTAAAGGTCTACTACAGGAAACTGCCATTTGCGCCGGAATCTGGTCCCCAAAACACGTCCTGGCAGAAATGAGCCATTTGCTGGAGCCTGAATTCCTCAGAACCATCTATACCCAGTTAATAATTAAAGTTCCTCAGGAGGTCTCCATTTGTTTGTTTCACCTATGTGAAGGATTCTGGTTTCATAAGATCCCACAGCAGTATTATTTCACTTAGTGTCAAAGAAAGGCCTACTGACTCCACCAACCCTAAGGCAAGTCTCTTCTGGCCCAGAAAGAAAAAGGTGGGAGGCTGCAGTAGCCACAGAAACTGACCCTGCCCAAAGCCAAAACACAGAGAGGGCTCCTACAAAATTAATCTCTGTATTTTTTTTTTTCTCACGCCCTCTCCAAATACCCAGCACTGGGCCCTTAGGGCCCAACAGCCTGCCATTTGTTGGTTAACTGATCCTCCAGGCCTGGGGTGAAGGTGGGGTGAGAGGATGATGGAGTTTTTAAATGTAGAATTGAAAAGCCAAAAGGGAGGGAAAAGGAGAGGCAAGAAGAACAAATAACAAGGAAAGACTTTTGTGTGTCTCTCACCTCCGAAACAGCTGCTATCAGGTACCCTTAAGAAACAGTAAAGATTTGGGGTGCCTGGGTGGCTCAGTGGGTTAAGCCTCTGCCTTCAGCTCATGTCATGATCTCAGGGTCCTGGGATCGAGGCCCGCATTGGGCTCTCTGTTCAGCGGGGAGCCTGCTTTCTCCTCTCTCTCTCTATGCCTGCCTCTCTGCATACTTGTGATCTCTCTCTCTCTGTTTCAAATAAATAAATAAAATCTTAAAAAAAAAAAAAAAAGAAACAGTAAAGATTTACCTAAAGTCTTTTATTAACTGCCTTACCAAATGCCCTAAGAGAGGTAGATGGGGTTTGTTTGACTTTTTAAAAAAGATTTTATTTATTCATTTGACAGAGAGAGATCACAAGTAGGCAGGCAGAGAGAGAGAGAGAGAAGCAGGCTCCCTGCTGAGCAGAGAGCCCATGGGGGGGGGGGGGGGGGGGGGTGTTGATCCCAGGACCCTGAGATCATGACCTGAGCTGAAGGCAGAGGCTTAACCCACTGAGTCACCCAGGTGCCGCTTGTTTGACTACTTTATTCCCACCCTGATTCTTCTCCAGTTGTAATGTCGTGCTCACAGTCTAACACACACCCAAACCAGGGGTTCAAAACCTGCTCTTTCCAGAGCCTCGCTCTGTCACCACCACCCCTCTCCTAAGGTAAGCCTTCCGCCTTCTTCTTCTTCCCCTTCTGCAGATCTCACCACAAAACTTTCTGGGCCTAATTCACATCGTTCTGACTCTCCCCATCTCTGAAATGGAAATAATAAAAATCATGGTGGGAATAACAGTAAGACCTATACAGTATAGTTGCCGTGAGGATTAAACATTCTAAATACTTGGGAATTTGTTGGAACTGCAAAGGACTGTAAAATTAGATGTCGTTTTTATTGCCTTTATTTCTAAAGTCGAGTTCAGTTGTTAGAATTAGGGTGCCAGGATGCTTGGCCGCTCATCAAAGGGATTAGGGAAGGGGTTAATGTTAGATGTTGCCAAATGTTTCAGGGAAAAAAATCCACTCCACTTGAAGCAGGACGTCAACTCACCTTGCACAAAAAGCCCTTGGGAGAGAAGACTTTCGGTTTAAAAGCTGAAGGCGTGGGAAAACAAAGTACTCAAAGCAGACAGCCTGAGACGCTCTGGGCCTCCAGGCTGGCACCCTGGTCGCCTCCACGCACCTGGGGCGTTCTTCCGCCTGCGGTGAGTGCCTCTCCCACGGCCCGGGTCTCAATCCCGCCAGGTGTGGGGAAAAGGCTTAGAGCTCTGGAAGTTTTAACATTTTAAAAGATTCTGCAGTTGACCAAGAACTCTAAAATCCCCGAGACAGTACCTGTCACTTCAGGGTGCTCCATACGCTCCCCCCTCGGTAAGGCCCAGGAAAGTGATGGTGTAATAAAATGAGATTCGAGGTCGTGGAAAGAATAGGCATATATACGTGCCCCCGTGTTGGGGGGAATGAGATCGATTTGGGTGTTGATTTCTCCAGTCATTTCAGAACCGCACTTCCTGCCAGATCGCCCAGGGCAATGCTAGAACAATCTTAGGGCATTGAAAAAAATGCCAGTTCAAAAGGCGATTCAAAATTGGGGATACCGGCTGCGGGCCGGTTGTTTACAAAAAAGCGATCGCATCCCTCACGTGTTTGGCCACACATCTTCGCAGGCCTCAGTTTCCCAGTGTGAAAAATGGGCGGACTACCGGCCCACCTCCCTCACTGAGAGAAAGGGGCTGGGTGTTCCGGTTTCGTCCCGGCTAACAGAAACCACTTGAGAAACGAGGAGTTTCTTTCGTTTTCAGTTGAAAGGGGGAAAAAAATGCAATAAGCGTGAACCATGCTCAGAAATGCTTCTGTCAGTATAGGTGGGGAGCTGGCTGAGAAGAGGCTAGAGGAAGGCCAAACTGGGCAGTACTTCTGCCGCATATGAATGTAAATCCGCACGTGTGCACATACACAAACGCACACAGACGGTATCAAAATCCACGGGTGTGTAAGGACAACTAACCTCCCACAGTTCAAGTCCCAAGGACCAGGAGCAGCCTCTTCTGCGCTTGCGCATTAACCGCGTTTTCGCCACCCCACCCCCCCTCCCAACCCCGCTGGCGCCCCGCCCCCGAGCTCGTTCTGTCCCGCCCACTTTCCCTCCCCTTCCCCAGCCCGGCCGCCCGCGCAGAGCACTGTGGGACACAAACAAAGTGCCCCCAAACAGGCTGGAGTGAGCGGAGCGGCAACGGCCGCGGCGCCGGCCCGCACGCGCGCGGCGGCGGCTCCCTCCCAACCTCCCCCTCCCCTCCCCTCACTCCCCTTCCCCTTCCCCACCCCGCCCCATCGAGAAAACGCGAGCCGTCGCCGCGCTCCCCAAACCGCCGCCTACCTTCGGCCAACCGCCCCCAACGGCCGCAAGCGCGCGGCTCTCCGGGCCCCCTCGCTCCTCCCCTCAGGCCCCTCCGAGAGCCTCGGGTGCTTCCCTCCTGCCGCTTCGCCCTCTCCCACCTCCCAGGCACGCTGCTGGTTGTGCCGCCATGCCCCAGCCACAGGCTGTCCACGGGCCTAGGCGCGGCGGCCCGAGATAGGGTCCCCTCAGCCTCCCCGGGGAGGAGAGAGGCAGCGAGCCGCGCGCTCCGCCCCCTCCCCCCGGGCTGTCGCCGCCGCCGCCGCCGCCGCCACCTCGCCGCCTCAGCCTGGCGGGGAGGAGGAGGAGGAGGAGCACCAGGCCTCCGGGCCCCTGCACCGCCGCCCTCAGGTAATGGGGAGAGGGGGGCGAGCGGGCCGTTTGGCCCCAGAGGGGGCAATAACCAGCCACTCCTCGCCGCCAGTGCCCTCGGGGTGCGTCCGCCCAGGGGCTGACACCACGCGTCCCCCATCTGGCGCTGGACGGAAAGGAAAGCCTGATCTTGTCACCCAATCCGCTCCGGGAGACACCCCATAGGGTCCCCTCAGTGGCATTTAATCCTTCAAGGAGGAGACTAGCCTTCGGCCCCCCAGTTGGAAATCTCCCCGATCGTCCAGATGCTCCCCATCATTTGCATGCCCATTTGCCCAACACCCTAACCCAAAGAAGGCAGAGGTGTTACCTCTTCTCACCTGGTCGAACCGGAGACCTGTCCCCCCCACCTCCCCCCACCCCCGTCTCCCCTGCTGCTTTTTCTCTGGTACTGGAAAGAAAAGGATGGCACTCTTAAAAAATAATAACAAACACCTCTTTTTCTTCGCTACCTGAGGATCACTCTGCATCTAGTCATTTTCTGCTGGCCTAGCCAGAAAAAAAGGGGTTACCTGCAAGTGAAATGACAAGTACATTAGAACTGATGAAAGGAAATCGCATCCTGTGAGTTCTATGAATCTTAACCAGAATTTAGAATAAAGATTAGTAATTGTGTACTTTATTGGAACTTACAGAAATGAAGACAAAAACTTAAGTTTTTTTCAACATGTAAATAAATCTGTTGAGGTCAGGAAAAAATTCTCTTCCACTTATTTTCTTACAGGTTTTTTCAGATACAGACTAACACCATAAGCACATAAACAATTTGATAGGATGGCAAATAGTTTGGCTTGGTAAAATTTTCGTGATTTCCTTTTGCCTAGGCTTTCAGTTAGAATTATTGGATTAGAAAAACTATTATATAAATCTTCATTTCCCTCATTACTTCACATTGGCTTCCAGTGGATTAATAATATTTAATTGTACCTAATGTAGTTTCCTTATCACGCAATGTGAAAATAATGAAAGAAATGTTTTCCTGTAGTCTTGTATTTTAGGAAGATAACATTCATTAATTATGGAAACCAGATTTACTTATTTTGTGCACTACAGGCATTTTACATATGTGATCTTATTTAATCCTCAGAACAACCTAATGATTTAGATACTATTACTTGAATTTTATATAGATGAGACAAATAACACAGCTAGAAGTGAAAATTGTACCCAGATATAATCGCAATGTAAGTATATTTCTGCTTTGCCTCTCAGTACAGGAATACTTTTTCAACTTTATTATGAAAAATTTATCTTAATGAAATTGAGAAAGAAATAGTGAATACTCCACTGTGCAGATTCAGTGAGTAACATTTATTGTTCCATCCTCACTTCTCCCTTTCAGTGTCTCTGTGTGTGTGACCATTTGAAAATAAGTTGCATACATCAGGACCATCAACTATTTGAGCATGCATTTCCTAAAAATAAAGGACATTCTCCTACTTATCCCGAACATCGTTATCAACACCTTTCTAAATTAACAATCCATATGCAGATTTCCTCTTTATTCTAAAATCTCCTTGAGAAATCTGTCCTTTTCTGTATTCAGTCAAGATTAATGTATTGCATTTGATGATTATGCCTTTAGTCCCCTTTTAAAAAGAATAATACCCATCTCCTTTTTTTCTAACACGTAATTGACCAAACCAGTTGTCTTACAGAATGCTCCCGCATTCTAGATTTGTCTGTTTCTTCTTAGTGGCATTTAACTTATTCCCCAACCCCTTGAATTTTCTGTTACTGGAAGTTAGATCTAAAGAAAAACCTCAATTAGCTAGATGTAAAACTTCCTTTGGCAAGAATAGGGGATACTATGTACTTCATACTGTTTCATAAACTGGTATATAATGTCAGATTGCTATACTATTAGTGATGCCAAATGACCACTAAAGTGGTGACTGCCAAATCTGTTATAAGGGTGTGGTTTGCTGTTTGTGATTTGTACGTCATCTTGGGGTAATACTTGACACCAAGCAAATATCCTGTTTCTGGCCACCTTTTGCTTAGTGATTTTAACACTCTTGGTGGCTCTTGATTAAATCAGTTTTATGGAGATTAAAATGTAAAAAAGATTTCCTTCATTAGCTAGGGGTAAACTAAAGTTCCTCCTACAAATGTGCAGTAAGTGCTTAATTCCTTCCCCTTGGTTATCAGTATTCAGAGAAAGGATTGGAGAAATAGTTACCCCAGTGGTTGCAAATGAGATTTTTTTCTTTCTTTCTTTCTTTCTTTCTTTCTTTTTTTTTTTTTTTTTTGCGGGATACACTTTGGACTCATGGTTTTTAGTGTATTTATTCATTTTTTTAAAATAACAGTCATTTTTCTTTTTGATCAGATTGTCCCAGATTTGGATAATAGGAACCTTTTCAACCTGGCTCCTGTGTCCTTTTTTTTTAAACACTCCTGATTGCCATTGGAGCATTCTTGGAGTGCTTTCAGGCATAAGATACCCAACGCTTACCTTGTTACTTTCTTTGTTCTAGATCTGGAATGGGCTGTTTATCTAAGGAGTCTTGGTTCTGTTTGATGAGAAAGGGTATATAGAAACCAAGATCAGGATGTGGATATATTCCTATTCATTGCTGCTGGAGTGTCATTGCTTCGAGACCCTTTCAGAGGAAAGAACTAAAAAATGGTTTTTTGCTTATTTGTTGAATAATTTATTTGTTTGTAGTGATATATCCAGTTCAAATTTAACATAGCAGACTTTTCCTTAACTTCTTTGATTTTATATTTGTCTCTTAAATGAAAATCTTGGTGCATAATATGAAGGGTATATAATCAGAGTATTTATGGTCTTCAGAATTCACTTGAAATACTTTTGTTTATTTAAGCTACCAATTTGATACAGTTCATTTGTTTTATTATTTGGGGGTTTTCTTTATTTTTGAATATGTCAAATATATGGTTCAATACATAGTTCAAAAGACAACTGTTTTTAAAAGTATGGTTAAAGAAGCCTCACCCAAATTAATTTTTAAGATGAAGTAGACCCTTTAGTATCTAATATATTCTCATATGTTTTAACTGCAGAAGGCTTAGCAGTATGTTACTTCCTTGAAGTGATGTAGGAGTAATTTTAAATTTTGCAATTAGATTCTGATTCCTCTGGCAAAGAGAAAGAATTAAAACTAATCCTTGAAGGTGAGCAGAAAAATATATTTCAAGCTTCTGCACGCTTTACTTGAAAATCAAGTCTTTAAAGAGATATGGATATGGTGGAAGTTTTATGAATCCATCTACTTGTATGCCACAAAAAAACTTGACATACAGTCTGTGGATATAAAAGGCATTCGGACATGTGATCAGTGACAACAACATGTTTTGTTTGGATTGGGCAAAATTTGATAGAAATTATAATTATGTGTTCAAATAAGAGTTTAGGAGGGAGCAGTGGTTGTCTAAAGTGGGCAGAGGACAGTTAGTTTATCTCAATCACCTACCACCCAGGTACTATAAAAAGAAAAAGATGCGCCCCGTGTGTTTTCCTCTTTGTATGCGATCACTGCTTTGGGTAACAGAGTGAACATCAATTTCCTTCAGGGAGTGGAGTGGGAAAATGGAGAATGCCTGTGCTTTGGACCCATTCACTTATTCTGTCCTCAATCTCAGTAAAGAGATTTCCTAATATTAGAACACATAAAGTAAGGGGGGAAATGTCACAAACAATTGCATAAGTATGTATAACCACCTGACAGGTAGAACCAGTTGTGATAGAATGAAGGGGAAAATATACTAACAATAATTGCTAACATTTGTTGAACGCTTTCAGAAAGTCAGCATTGTACTAAACATTTTATTTCATTTAAATTTCATTTAGCATTTCATTTAAATTTCACATTAACTCTTTGATATGACTGCTAATATCTTACTTTGCGAGTAAGGAAACTGTAATCCAGCTTTCACACTTAAGTCTGTCTTCAGAATTAGCATTATACTTTCAGAATTAGCAAGATACTTTAGTATACCTCATAGCTAAATATAATGGGTAGTAAAATATATTTCATTGACCGTGAATTAAAGGAAGTACGTGACTGATGTTTGTCCCGTAGCAACACTGAAGATTGTATGCCAAAAGCCCCAAGTGCCGCAAGTGCTTATCATATCTATTACACATCCTTAGTGTATCAGACTTTGCTTCAGAAACTGCATTTAGATACCATTTTAATAGGCATTTAAATAGTAGAGCATCAGGGCGCCTGGGTGGCTCTTGATTTCACCCCAGGTCATGATCTCGGGAGCATGTGATTGAGCCCCACTTCTAGCTTTGCGCTTGGCAGAGTCTGCGTGGGATTCTCTGTCTCCCTCTCCCCACCCCCCATTCCTGTCCCTACATAATCTCTCAATAAATGGATAAAACTTTGCATAAGTGAATAAATAAGCATCAAAAGTCAAGATGAATTGGTGGATGGACAGATACGTGATAAAACAAGTATAATAACGTTAACGGTAGAATCTAGGTATGGTTATGCACATATTCACCTGTAAAATTCTTTAAATTTTGATCCATCTGAGATTTTTCATAATAAAATATCAGGAGTGATTAACAGTATATTGTTATTATAAAATATTATTGATAGTTCTGTAAAAACCAGTAACATGCTATATCCTCTATGCCTACAGTGATTCTCTTAAATTTTTAGTAAGTCTTCCTAGCCCTATAAAGGATAAAAATTGTCACCGAAACAGTCAAAGACTGTTGTAAAGGGGTTTACTTCATCAGTTCAGAGGCTCTTAATTAGGCTCCTTCCAGCTATAGTTTTTAGTATCTTTATAAATATTATATATATTAAATTTGTATATATACTTTTTCCCACTATGATGTTCTGATACTTGGTAGACTGCTGTTGAGCATACTTTTCATGTAAGCTTTTGGGCTGTTTTTACTTTAAATGCCTCACATTGACAAAAGAAACAGTTCTCAGTGTACCTAAGAATGATTGGGAGAAACTTATCCCCTGGTGGACTGAAAGCCACATTAG